ATTCCTGCCCAAAAAATCAAAGCAACAGATAGCTGACCACAAAATACAGATCTAATGTGGTGCACTGCACACATGAGTCCTACAGGAGTTGTAAGAGGAAATCTCAACTGTTTGCCTGTCAAGAAAGGAATTAATTAACTCTGTGGTGTTAACACCCTTTCTGTTTTTTCTAGGGAGAACTTGGCATCCGAGGGCTTCCAGGTCTCAGAGGAGAAAAAGGAGAGTCAGTAAGTAAGAAATACCAGGGTGATTTTATGTAAGGAGATGGACATGCAGGGAGTTGTTTTCTCCTTTATGGTGAGAACTTGCTCACAATGTCCATGTGCTCTGTTGAATGTTTCTTCTGCTGGGCTTTAATCCTAGGGGGAAGCTGAGCTTTATGGTACCCACTGTTATTTCTTGGAGGGGGAAATGGAAGAGTTCAGCCATGAATACAGCTGATAACTGACTTAGCATTGCCCTTCTAATCAAAATATGTAACTTGGGTGTACTTGATTCTAGCACAGCTGCACATCTAATGGGGACAGTATGAGGCAGCTGAACACAGAGAAGATGCAAATCTTTCCCAGCTCCTTTACATTCAGATGACCAAATACAGCTTTCCCCAGCTGCAGGGAGCCCAAATGCCAGACTTATCAGTGAGAAAAACTTTAACCCTATGGAAAATTCATTCTAAAAATGATTGTTGGCATCTGTGATTTTGGAAATGCAATATCAAATTCTGCCCTGAATAGAAAATAAGATGTTTTCCTGGCTGCAGTAGAATTTGGGATAGGTTTTCTATTTTAATTTGTCAGTGAATTAATATCAAGGAATTATACTTAGAGATAATTACTTTCCCTATAGTAGCTGTCCTGTGACTTGTCTGTCCATATATGTATGGATGGATAGATAGATATGTCTCTCATATATAAAACAAGGAAAACATGAAATATGTATTTATAGTGTTGTTTAGTATCCTTGCTCTCAAATGTACCTTTTCCTCTCTTCTTTCATTTCCAGGGCAGAGCCTATGGCAGAGGAGAAAAAGGAGAAAAGGTAAGCTCTGATCCTTCATTGGACTAATTAAATGAGAGTTGCTTGCTCTTGTCTTCTGAAGCTCAGAGATTGCTTTTGGAGTGCATGGGGTGCAAGAGATGTGATACACTTGGATCTTTGTGAAGAACTTTTATGTTGTCTTATGCCTCCTTCTGCAGAAAGGCTTTTTGTGCTCATTGCTTGTCCCCTTTGTGCTCTTTTGAGTTTCCTTTCTGCGTTGGCCATGTAAAAGGCTATGAAATTGAAATAATAATCTTTGCCTTGTGTAAGCAGCAGTGAGTTCATGGAGGATAATACAGTAAAGCAACTGGCTGGGAGGATGAAAAACAAAGGGAAAGTGTAATTTTGAGTTTATTGTATTTTCAACAGGATTAATTTTGGGTCACGAGGAGACTGCTACACTGTTTCTTTTCATTGGATATTTACATTAGTAACCTGAAGGATTCATTTCATTAATAACCTGAAGGCATTTTCTTCCTGCAAATATTAGGCAGGACAGTGTGTTAAGACTCGGAGGTTAAAACTGAGGCTACAGAGTAACCACTAAAAATCACTAGGTTGTCTGTCTTGGAAAATATGCTCAATGGTGACCAACACTTGGAAACAAGCAGCATGACTGGACTAATTTACATTAAAAAAGATGTTGGTTTCCAGGCAGTTCTGTCTGCAGACTTTCCATTCCCCACAACAAAATGAGGCTGCAAACCTAGATTGCAGAGAAGTAGCTCTTTCTCTCTGCAGCTCCATGTCACATCTGGTTGGGGGTGTTTCCCTTATCACCAAGATGAGATTTCAAGTTGTGGGGAGCAAAGGGAAAAGATTGACAGGAGGGGGTAAGAGATAGATGGATGTATTAAGGAAGAAGTCGTCGTGCATACTGAAAACAAGACTAGGAATCTGTGGAGATGTTTTCCAGGGAGTCTGTGGCTACCTGATTTCTCAGGGAATTTAAAACAATATTGGATTGTGGTCTGAAAGGAAGAATGCTGCACTAGTGAGAACATGACATTTATGGCCATTGCATCTTCTCATTTCTTCTTTCTAAGATTATGATATATTGATTGTATATAGAGGTAATGCATCATGTGAAATTACAATCTAAATGAGGATTGCTCATGGCAGGAAATATTATTGAGCCAGGCTAGAGACATGGGGGCTATAAAGCACACAGTTCTGCATCCATCTTCTGCAGTCCTCCCACTGACAGCCACTATTAAGCTTGGAGACTCAGGATTCAGCCTTTGGAAACCAACTCGTGTTTGGCAGGTGGTGAGTCTGGTGTCTGGTGGGAAACATGATGTTTACAATATGAGTTGTGCTGCAGTTGAAGCAAGTTCTTGTTTTCTTATGTTTTACCTCTGCAGAAATGTGTCAGAAAACATCACTCTGTGTTATTGTCATGCCTGGGAAAACAGGTCTGCAAGTCTGGGATGGAAGGGAAGAAATAAAAAGGCCCCACAATATGTGCAGAATTTGTCCTTTTTTTTATTTGGATGGCCAAACAGTGTTGACTGTCCTGATCAAATGTGTAGGCGTGGAGAACTTGAGTTTATGGCCAGCTTGTTTTGTTTATTTGGTACTCCTGCCACCCAAGGCAGCATCTCCTCATCTGTGGAGGAAGTGTTTTTGGTATCTGGTGTGCTTGTGCCCCATGTCTGCCCAATGGCTGAGTGTCAGAACCCTTGCTGATGGAGAGCAAAGGTCTATCAGCTGTACATTGCTGGCTTGATAAAAAATGGGGCCTGGGGATGTAAAATCATAGAATGTCTCAAGTTGGAAGGGACCCATAAGGATCATCAAGTCCAACTCCCTACAGGACTACCTAAAACTAAACCATATGACTAAGAGCATTGTCCAGCCTGTCTTTGAACTCTGATGGGCTTGGTGCCATGACCCCTTCCCTGGGAGCCTGCTCTAGTGACCCTTTCCATGAAGAACCTTTTCCTAATGTCCCATTTGAGCTTCCCCTGATGCAGCTTCATTCCATTCCCTTGCATCCTATTGCTGGTCTCCAGAGAGAAGAGGTCAGCACCTCCCTCTCCACTGCTCTCCTTGAGCAGGTTGTAGGTAGTCACCCCTCAGGTTTCATCCAGGTGGCCTCACCTGCTTCTCCTAAGTCTTGCCCTCGAGGCCTTTCATCATTTTGGTCACCTGCTCTGGACACACTCTGGTAGTTTGATGTCCTCCTTCTGTGGAGGTGCCCAAAATGGCACAAAGCACTGGAGGTGGGGCTGAACCAGGGCTCTGCAGAGTGGGACACCCACCTCACTCAACCAGCTGGCTGTGCTGTGTGTGATGCATGTGGGACACAGTTGGCCTTTTTGGCTACCAAGGCACACTGTTGACTCATATTCAACTTGCCATCAACTCAGACTCCCAGATCTCTTTCCTTGGGGCTGCTCTCCTGCCTTTCATCCACCTATTTGTACGTGTAACCAGGATTACCCTGTCTTAGATGGAGAATCCAACACTTGCTCTTGTTGGATATCATGTGGTTGGTGATTGCCCAGCTCTCTGTCTACCCAGATATCTCTGTAAGGCCTCTCTACCCTTGTGAGAGTCCACAGTTCCTCCTGGTTTAGTATCATTGACAAACTTACTTAATGTACATCTGATTTGTGTGTCCAGATTATTTATAAAAACATCAGAGAGCACTGGCCCTAAAACCAAGCCCTGGGGAACCACAGTGGTGACTGGTCACCAGCCTGAAGTAACCCATTTACTATAACTCTTTGAGCTTGATCCATCAATCAACTGCTTACCCAACATATTATGGACTTCTCTAGCTCTGTGTTGGACATTTTGCCCAGAGGATACTGTGAGACACACAATTACAAGCTTTTCTAAAATCCCAAACCAACCACATCTCCTGACTTCCTTTGGCCAACTAATTGGGTTACTTTGTTATAAAAGGAAATTAGATTGTTCAAGCAGGACTTGCCCCTCATGAACTTCGACTTGCTGTGACCAATGACTGTATTGTCTCTGAAGTGTTTTTCAGTAACTCCCAGAATAACCTTCTTCATAATTTTACCAGGCACTGAAGTGAGGCTGACAGGCCTGTGGTTGCCAGGGGCTTCCTTCTTATTCCTCTTGAAAATCAGGACAACATTTATCAGCTTCCATTTGACTGGGGCCTCTCCAGGCTCCCAAGACCTTGCTGATGGTCTGTTTGCCCACCCTGGTCGTGGCACTCTTGGTCGCTAGTGCTCCCTAGGGGCTTCTTTGATAGATGTGGGGACTTGGCCACCATTTCTCCTGGCCTTGCCCTGGTCTACTTAGCTGCTGTGGCATGAGCTGTGGGATCCTGGTGAGTCTCTCCACACCTCTCATACTCTCTGGTTCAGGAAGCCTCATTGAACACCACATTCTATACTCCTGAAAAGAAGAGGAGAGCCTGTGAAATGAAGCCATTCCCAGACAGGAGAACACCTGGAAGGAGAGGATTCATGTGGCTCCTTGCTGCTTGCCTGCTGTGCTACAAGAGCTGCATGAGCATGAATTCTTGTTCTTCACTCTGGCTGTGACAGTTTTATGTTGCCTTGATTTTTATGGGTGGGGGCCAGTGCTAGGAGACAGGATCAGAGAGATTGGACTTGAGACAGCTGCAATCTGTGCAGTTGTTGCTGTGCATGTGCTGTGGGCTCCTTTATAAGGACAAGGCTCACCTCCTAAGTGTTGATAGAACAGTTATCTCACTTTAAAAAGACTGAGATGACAAGATTAAAATCATCCCCTCATCGTAGCATTGCTCTCCAGCTGTGCTAGTGCCAAACACCTGCCAGGTCCTGCTGTTGCCAAGTATTGTGTGTAGGGCAATTATCTGAGATCTGAGGCATTTGTTAGAGGGCAAATCCTCTGCTTTTCTAGGAGGACAGCAGAGGCAAGAGGCCATTACCTCAGTTATATCACTAAGTTAAAGCCAAACTGATGCTTGTATTAGAATATGTAACATGCCAAGCACATCATTAGTGGGAAACCAAAAGATAACAGCAACAGTGGCTAAAATCCTAATTCATGTTGACGTGAGGTCTTGTGTGACTTTGAAAACCAGGAAATTCACTGTGATGGTTCAAGCAACAGCCCAGAGTGTTCTGCCAGGCCTAAATATCTCAGCCTGGTAAAGGATGTTTTTTATGTAGAGAAACATGCATGTGCAGACCAAGGAATTGTGCATAGATATTAAAAAAAAGAGAGGAAAATAATACATCTACAGGTGCTTGTGTAAACTGCTCTCAAGTGGATTTTCTGTTTAGGTGTAATTCAGCTGCCACTGCTCTGTGTTTGATCTTCAATTTCAACTGTTGACTGTTGTCTTTCAGCCCTTGGAGTGTTTAATCCCTGTGGCATTAGGTGTAGTCTGTCATATTTATGGCCATAAATCTGTATCCTTTTACTGTGTGGTGATTCACTTGTTTTGCACATGCTTATGTTATTGACCTGATTATTATACACTGGCAAAACTCCAGTTCTATAACATGATAACCATGAAAGGCAATGTTTTTGCTTATTCTGTAGGTTATTCAGATGGATATTTGCTAAACCAGGTGGCCTAGTCTTGCTAGCTTTATAACTCTTCAAACCTCTTGATCCAAGAGGAGTAGGTGAAGAAGAGGAATGAGGGCAGAAGGAACAGCTGTAGACCATTTCTGAGGATGATTCAAGCAAGACAGGTCTTCAGTGACTCTTCAGGACTTCAGTGATCAAAGTCAGGGAAATCACATTTGACATGGGAGGTTCTGAGGTCGGCACTCCTGGGGCACAAGCATCCACATCGTGAGCCAGCCTGCCCTCCTAATGCCTCCACACAGAACTGAACTTGGAGACTTTCAAATACTTATGCCCTGCTCTTGGAAGCACAGTGGTGCTGACCCACCCTTCTACCATCCTAACGGCCAACAGTGGTGGGCAGGTGCTTGGAAAAGAGATGACTTTGGAGAAGATATGATGAAAATCTGTCAAACTTTCAGATATCAGTAGGAAATTATTTTTCACTGTTT